CCTCCGCCGCCTCCGCCGCCTCCGCTACTGCCGCCGCCTCCGCCTCCGCCTCCACCGCCGCCTCCTCCGCCACCTCCGCTCCCACCGCCACCGCCGCCGCCACCTCCGCCTCCACTGCCGCCACCGACCCCTCCACCCCCACCTCCACTCCCACCGCCACCCCCACACCCCCCACTGCCGCCACCTCCACCTCCACCGCCCCCGCTCGCTCCTCCAGCGCCCTTGCCCCCCTTGCCCTTGCCAGAGCGGCGTCTCCCGCTAGGGGCAGACGCCACACCGACCGACTCAAGACCAAGGAGGTCGGCCGCAGCAGCAGAGGCAACAGAGGGCAGAAGGGGGGAGGGGGAACACCCCTCAAAGATGGGGGTGCGCGGGTCACCACGAGAGGCCCCTACAGCGACTATGCTCTTCTCGGCCGCTAGGAGGGACTTCTCGAGGAGGTCAACAGTGAGAGTGGTGGGACAGACAGAGAGAAAGTGGTCCCTGACTACGCGAAGGGAGTCAGGAAGGCGAGTGACTATGTAGTAAAGAGTGATGTACATGGGGGGGGGGTTCTTGGCGCAGAAGTCAGGAGGGAGTGCAGCGCGGTAGCGAGTGTCACTAGTGCGGAGGTGCGTAATGAGGTCAGCGACTGTGGGAAAGGCAGCAAGGTCAGGAAAGAGGTACGGTAGCATGAGACGGCTCAGTGCAGCAGTGGCAGGGGAGGAGTAGCGCGCAACTACAGCGTCGTACAAGGTCTGAGCACTCTTGTACTGACTAAAGTGCGCACGCTCGGAGGTAGGGAGGTGGCGACGCACAGCAAGACGTGCAGCAGCGTCGCGCGTGGCCCACTGGGAGCGAACAGTGGCGTCAGCATCAGCAGCAGGGGCAGTGGAGGCGCCAGAGGTGAGGTCAAAGAGAGAGAGGCCGTCTGCCCTATCGCACTGTAAGAACAGCTGCAGGTCATCTACCCAGACCTCAAAGTCAATGGCCCGACCCTCACCGTCAAAGACGAGAACACTAGGGGTAGCCATGACCCGAGACGACTAGCAGCGCAAACAGTAGGGTGAGGGCAGTGCAGTGAAAAGGCGCTGTGCTCACCAGACTGGGCAGGTCGGGCGGCCCGGAAGGAGGGCGGCGCGGCGGCTCGGCGGCTCAGCTGCTGGGCGGCTCGGCGGGTCGGCGGCTCCGCTGCTGGGCGGCTCGGCTGCTGGGCGGCTCGGCTGCTGGGCGGCTCGGCTGCTGGGCGGCTCGGCTGCTGGGCGGCTCGGTTGCTGGGCGGCTCGGCTGCAGGGCGGCTCGGCTGCCGGGCGGCTCGGCTGCTGGGCGGCTCGGCTGCTCTGCTGTCGGGCGGCTCGGTTGTGCTGCTGAAGGGCGGCACGGCGGTCAGCTGCTCGGCCGGGTGAGACGGCTCGGGCGGCTAGGGTGGCGGGCGGCGCTGCAGCAGGTGACGGGGCCGAGAGCGAGGTGGCGGGGCCGCAGGTAGGGTGGCGGGGCCGCCGAGTGAGGCAGCGGGGCCGCTAGGTAGGGCGGCGGGGCCGCTAGGTAGGGCGGCGGGGCCGCAGGTAGGGTAGGGCGGCGACGAGCCAGGCGGCGACGGGCCGGGACAGGCGGCGCACGGGCCACAACGAGCGGCGACGGGCCGGGGGAGGCGGCGCACGGGCCGCGACGGGCGGCGACGGGCCGAGACGAGCGGCGACGGGCCGGGACAGGCGGCGCACGGGCCGCGTCGGGCCGCGTCAGGTGGCGACGGGCCGGGACACGCGGCGCAGGGGCCGCGTCGCACGGGACGGGCGGCTCACGTGGCCGGGGCGGGCGTCAAAAGGGCGGCGGGCGGGCCGCGTAGGGTGGCGACGGGCCGCTAAGGGCGGCGACGGCCGAGCAAGGGCGGCTCGAGGGAGGCCGCGACGGTAGAGAGAGGACCCGAGGCGCGACTCGGGCCTAAGCGGAGCGCGCTTCGGGCAGAAAAAAATTTTCGATGGTGGGCCCTAGGATCAGTTCCCACTAGGGAACCTGCTCGATACCATGAGAAGAAACAAGAGTGAATGAACTATGAATGAAGTGGGTACAAGTACTAACCCTAATTGGGTTGTACCCCCTATGGGATACCCCACTACAGCCTACACAAAAGTATATGCTATAACGTTCTGACAGAGACATCTGGGGTGGCGGCCATGGGCCTGCACCGCGAGCCGCCGCCCTGCCGCGCCAGCCGCTGGGGCTAAGGGAGTGGCAGGAGTGAACCTACAACACCAATCGTTGCACTCCTCCTCTCTCTGCCTTCCATTGCACTCTTACGCCTCCTCCTCCTCTCTTTCCTCCTTGGCTGCAGCCATTGAGCAACTACTGCCGCTGCACCTGTAGCTGGTGCATCTACTGTTGACGGACCTGCCGTGATTGTGCACATGTCGTGCTACCTGCTACAGGTGCAGCTTATGTTGCCACCGAAACTCCTGCCCACTCTGGGCCTTCTTGATAATGGGGGGACGAAATCCGGTAACCAGCCAAGCTCGGAAGGCAAGCTGTTGTTGTTGTGGTCGGTTGTGGTCGTGGTCATCGTGGTCGTGGCTGTGGTTTTTCTAGTCCTTAATGTCAGTAGATCTGCACTGTGGATGCCCAATTGATCCTAGGAGGGGTTACAGGCGCGTTCGCCTGGGGGGTTATGGGCGCACAAACCCGCTACACAAACAAGCCCTTTTATCCCAATGGTCTAGTGGTTGGGATTCTGACATGGTATCAGAGCGGTCTCGGGTTCGAATCCCGGTGTATGCACATGTAGGCCGTTGCCGTTGTGCTCAGTCCTGGGCCTCCCAGTTTGGGGGGGTGTCAGTAGATCTGCACTGTGGATGCCCGATTGATCCTAGGAGGGGTTACAGGCGCGTTCGCCTGGGGGGTTATGGGCGCACAAACTCGCTACACAAACAAGCCCTTTTATCCCAATGGTCTAGTGGTTGGGATTATGACACTTCATGTATTCGCACTTTAGCGAGTACGATTCCGAGGATAACGCATCCGCTGGTTCGGCCTACATTTTCGCCCGAAACCACTCTCGAGTCGCCCCCGCACCAATCGCCACCCTTCTGGGCCATCTTCGCCTGACGTCCCCGCCTAGATATGAATACTGTTATGAGTGCAATTGAGCGAGTGAGCGAGAATTGCACTATCGAAGCTAGACAATACATTGAGCGAAGGAATGAGCAAAGTTCCCCTTCCGCAGTAAGTTCGTCAGCGGGGCAGTTTAGCGTGCCATGTCGGGGACGAACCGACGGGCATAGTTAACGAACCCCAAAAAACTCTGCAGCACCGTAATATTCGTTGGTGGGTGCCAAGCCTTGACTGTATCTAATTTCTTCGGATCGATCTCAACTTCAGCCTCCAAAATAACGTGCCCTAAAAAATCTAGCCTGTCCTGAAAAAACTCGCACTTGGAACCCTTGGTCGGTAGTCGGTTTTCGTCTAAGATCTTGAACACTGCTTTCAGATCCGCTAAATGCTGCTGCTTATTGCAACTGTAAACCAGGATGTCGTCAAGGTAAACTATCACGCATTTATCTAAAAGTGGTCTAAAAGCCTTGTTCATGGTCATATGAAAAGTTGTTGGTGCGTTGGTCAGCCCGAGTGGCATCACAGTGTACTCGTAGTAACTTCTTCGCATATTTCGCAAATACTTCATTCGTCAAAGTCTTCCACCGCGTTTCATCCTCGACTTAGTCGACCCCACTAATCTTGAGAGGAATTAAGCCAACGGACCTAACAAGCGTGAACAATGTTCGAGGCGAGTGTCGCGAGTGGTAACGGTGCACTGTCGTGAACAGTTGATTACGCAATAAGCAGGGGCGCGAAGTATGGAAAGGAAATCTCCTTTCAAATACCCTCTATTTAATCACGTCACTTTCATTGTATCTTGATTCATTTAATCAGAATCTCGTTATTCGTTTACATTGCACACTCGGTAAGTTCTTTCATAACATCTGGGGACTCCATTGCTAGGGGTGGCTTGTCGGTTGCGCGGGTAAGGTTTCGGCGTTCTGTACCAAAGCGTGCGGCTTGGACGGTGCTCGTCGCTTTTGCGTTGGCTCATGTCGTCCCCTTGTCCTCTAGTGCGCCGCTACCGATGGATACCGCGTTTCGTCACATCAAATTTCGTCGGCAACCGCTTTCGCAACACCGCTTCTCTTCCTTACGCGAAAGAGTTTCGCAGCTCTGGTTTCACTGAGTCCATAATGACACGACAGCCGGGGCATCGATTGCGCATGCAGCGGATAGAACTTTCGATTCACAAGTAGCAGTCACGCAACCACCTGACAGGAAGTTTGCATCACACCACCCTTTTAAAGCACTGGTCCACAACCCCTTGTCACAGCTTGCCTCAATTTTCCATGATCACCACAGATCCTGCTTAGCTCATTAGTCCTTCATAGTGCAATGCGGTCGCAGCAAGGATTGGACTCTGAGCCGAATGAGAAGTGCTGATATTTAATAATCACTAACTTTCAAGAGCTTCTTGACGAACCAAGTCGTTTGTCGCGAACGTCTGAGTAGGTCTTCGAACAGTAGGTCTTCGGACGGATCCCCCTTGATTCCAAATCCGCTGACAGTCTGACGTAGCGTAGTTGCCGTTGCGGACAATCGCATTCAAGACGTCTCAAAACTCACCGCGATCGCACGGAAGTCCACTGATGGGCCTGTGCGCGGCTAGGGCATGCGTCTCCCCCCTCGACGCTATAACGGCCCACAGGCACCTTCACACCCGCGCGCACAGCGCGGAAGCCCTCGCTACAGTCACAGCGTTCCACGACGCAGCAATGGGCGGTTGTAATCAACAGGCAAACCAGAGCTCACTCGTTATCGATATGTGCGATACTGCATCACTCAATACAGGCGTGCTTTCAGCGCAGGACGCAAACGCGTGGGGTTCTGCACCATCATGGCTCCAGCCAGCAGGGACAGCAGTAGCAGCAGCAGCCTTCTACGGGCTTGGCGATCACTCTCGCATCTTCGCCGGCGCTGCATCCGCGCCGATGGCCCAAGCGCGAGTCTCTCCGCCGGGAGCGCACTTCTCGTATTCCACGCCGCCCAGCCCACTCTCTCTGGACGGCAAGCCGCACTCGTTGGAAGGTCGGGTCAGCAACCCGCCTCACGCGCAGCAAGATGCGGGTGTGGCGGAGGCGGCAGAGCTGACGGCGGACCTATGCGCGATGGGCGGAGACGAGGAGATGGTGGAAGAGGGGAACTGCGAGGGCGGAGGGGGGTTGGAGTGGCGGCGAGTGGTGGCGATGCTGATGTCGGACACGAAACACGCGATGAACGCTGTGGATTGCGTCATGGGCGGGCAGGGCGGACAGGACGAGCAGCAGCAGCAGCAGCAACAACATTACGACGAGATGCGAAACCAGCAGCTGTCGCACCAGCATGTTGATCACACGTTACACGACGATCACGAGACACAGCACCCGTGGCAGCGGCTCGAGAATGACACTGCGCAGTGCCACCATCGCAACTGGCAGGCGACCCCATCCGCCTCATCTCCGCTCAAGCTCGTTATACCCATCCCGCGGCACCACGGGGAGACCCACTCCGCAGCAACTACCACAGCGACACATGTCGGCGATGCCGTGGCCGGTCCAGCCTCCAGCAATGGGCTCACGCCCCACCAACTGCAAATCACGCCTCAGCTGCAAAGCCCGTGTCCACAACACCAAGTCTATCCTGCGCCATCTCCCGTATTCTCGACTCCTGTCGGCGACTCACCACCGTCGTACTATCGACCCGAAATCGGCAGCGACGGTAAGGCGCGCCGAGTCCCGCTCCGACACTGTGAGCGGAGCCTCCAGCCGCTCAAGCTGTCGCTGACTGAAGCTCGCCCGCACGACCTGCTTGGCTCGGAGCAGCCTGCGTCGGAGGGATGGCGAAGCAAGTCGAAACGGCGCGAGGAACTAACAGTGGGGTCACCTCGCGCTCAAGTGATGTCGCCTGGCGTGCAGATGGTGTCGCCTGACGACGGGTTCACGTCGCCTACCTGCCTGACGTCCTCGCCTGGCGTTCGGATGGCGACGTCCCCTGGCCTACAGTCGCCGCCTATCATTCTGCTCGACGACATGAGCGCAGGGAGTGGGCGAAGCGCACCGAAGCGAAGGCGCGGACATTCTGGTTCTTGGGAGGTACGTCTCAGAGTAACTTGCTATCTGAGTAACAACGCGGCTGACTATGTTACGAGTCGCGTTTATTCTCGACTAGTAGTTTCTACGTTTCACGTTCTATCGTTACCCCTCCCTACCGTATTCCCTCAGGCTCGCGGGAGTAGCGATTCCCCAGGTGCTCATAGAGCCGCGGTTGCGCAAGAGGAGCGTTCTGCAGGAGCAGTCAGCGTGTCACCCGCTGCTGCTGCTACCCCATTTGAGGGGCCTGATTGGCTGCACCACCTGCACTCGGGCAAGCTGCAAACGCTCCCAATCATGGTACGCCGCATCATGGTGGACAGACAAAACGCGGCTTCGTCGTCTAACATGTTACCATTCGACTGTACACCGTTCACCCCTAATTCCTCGTCTTGCGCTAGGCCTGGTGAGCGTCAATCCCAAAATCCCCAATCAACTTGTTTCGTGTGTACTCTGGATTTTATCGTTCTGAGCAGCTACGGATGGAGACGACCAAGGATCGCATTTCGCTACTACGACAACTCGTCGCACCCGCACTAACGAAGGTAACAGAAAAGTGGCATGATAGTATCAGCAAGTGAAGTAGGTCCTTGCTAGCAGACGCACTGCTCAATGCTTACCCTAACGCTCCAAATCTGCTCATATTTGCAGGGAGACACGGCGACGGTGCTTGGCGAGGTCGAACAGTTTGTGAGGGCAGTTTACGAGAAGCTCAAGGAGATCAGCAACGGTCACGAGCAGCACGCCGCGTTTCCCGCCAACGAGAATGGGGAGGGGTGGTGCGCTCCGGCTAGTGGCTGGGCACAGAGTGAATTTAGAATGGATGGAGGTGTTGGTGGCCGCGATGGCGTGGGATTGGCTGCCAAGGGTCTGAGGCTGGTTACTCGACGAACCGTGGAGACGTTCGTGAATCGAGCGACACATTGTAGGAAGCAGTAACCGTTTCAACGGAGTTTGATAACTATTTGAACGAGAAGCATATTTTTGCTCCTGGTTCAGCTAGTTACCTCATTTCCACTCACATCCATTATTCGAACTGACAGCTGTTTAGTTTCTTTTTATTCCTTTGTGAATGGCATTTAGATAAGCATCATTGTATTTTCATTCTTAGAAACTAGCTCTTCTCGATTTTTATGAAAATGGCCAATGCGCTATTGGGATTTTTTTATCTTCAAATATTCATTTTGTCCCTTGTTACGAATAGTGAATAATTGAAGCATCACTGTGCACTCCTTACCGCAGCAATCGAAACATGCACTACCGAAGCTGAAGACGAAAATTCGGAAGTGACGCGAAGCGAAGCGTCGTGCGGTTGCGAAAATGATCTGAACCGTCGGGCAGACAGAATCAGGCAGCAGCAGTGGCGAGGATTCTGCCCGGACAGTTTCGTAACTGTATGGAGACGCACGGTTGGATTTTGCAGTAATAAGGGAATCTACCCCTTAGAGTACATGGCTAGTTAGGTCGATTCGTATTCCTTCCAGTACTCGAATGTCAGATGTACATGCCTTAGCCTATGTAGGCTGTAGTGGGGTAGCCACTAAGGGGTACAGGTTTCATATTTGTATCTCACACTTTCCTAGTTCATTCATTCCTGTTTAATTCTTCACATGGTATAGAGCGGGTTCCCTCATGGGACCGTTCCTTCCTAAGGGCCCACCATAAGCATTTTTTTTTTTTAGCTGCCCGAAGCGCGTCTCGCGCCCTGCCCTAATTTTTTTTTTTTCGCGGCCCCCTACCGGCCCCTAACGGCCCCTACACGGCCCCTACGCGATCCCTACGCCGCCCCTAAACGGCCCCGTCGCGGCCCCGTACCTGACGCGGCCCCGTCCCTGACGCGGCCCCGCCCCTACCCGGCCCCTACGCGGCCCCTACGCGGCCCCTACGCGGCCCCTACGCGGCCCCTACGCGGCCCCTACGCGGCCCCTACGCGGCCCCTACCCGGCCCCTACGCGGCCCCTATGCGGCCCCTACCTGGCCCCTACGCGGCCCCCCATTGCGCGGCCCCCTACGCGGCCCCTCAGCGGCCCCTACGCCGCCCCTACACGGCCTGACCCGGCCCCGTCCCTGACGCGGCCCCTACGCGGCCCCTACGCCGCCCCTACGCGGCTCCTACGCGGCCCCTAAACGGCCCGAACCGGCCCCGTACCTGACGCGGCCCCTCCGCCGCCCCTAAAAGGCCCCGTCCCGGCCCTACCCCGGCCCCGTCTCGGCCCCGTCCCGGACCTGCCCCGGCCTTAACTCCGTCCCGGACCTGCCTTGGCCCCGACCCCGTCCCGGACCTGCCCCGGCCCCGACCCTGTCCCGGCCCTACCTCGGCCCCGTCCCGGACCTGCCCCGGCCCCGACCCCGTCCCGGACCTGCCCCGGCCCCGACCCTGTCCCGGCCCCGTTGCTGCCCTGTCCCGGACCCTGCTCGGCCCCGACCCTGTCCCGGACCTGCCCCGGCCCTGACCCTGTCCCGGCCCCGTTGCTGCCCCGTCCCGGACCCTGCTCGGCCCCGACCCTGTCCCGGCCCTGTCACGGCCCCGACCCAGTCCCGGACCTGTCGGCTCCGCCCCTGGTAAGAGCCTAGCCGGGCCGAGCCGCGCGGCCGAGCCGCACTGCTTTGCCGAGTCGCCCTGCCGAGTCGCACTGTCCTGCCTCGCTTAGTTGCACTGCTGCCGCTGCTAGTCTACTGCTGCTCCTATCATGGCTAGTCCTAGTCTTCTCACCTTTGATGCTGAGGGTCGAGCGGTTGACTTTGATGTCTGGCTAGATGATCTGCAGCTTTTCCTTCAGTGCGATAGCAAGGATGGTATCTCCCTGTTTGATCTTACGTCGGGCGCCTCTACTGCCCCTGCTGCTGATGCTGACAGTACCGTTCGCTCGCAGTGGCTCACGCGCGATGCTGCTGCCCGCCTTGCTGTGCGTAGTCACCTACCGTCTACTGAGCGCGCGCACTTTAGTCAGTACAAGAGTGCTAAGACTCTGTACGACGCAGTAGTTGCACGCTACTCTTCCCCTGCCACTGCTGCGCTTAGCCGCCTCATGCTACCGTACCTGTTCCCTGACCTCGCTGCCTTTGCCACAGTCACTGACCTCATTACGCACCTCCGCACTAGTGACACTCGCTACCGCGCTGCGCTTCCTGCTGAGTTCTGCGCCGAGAACCCCCCCCCCCATGTACATCACCCTCTACTACCTAGTCACTCGACTCCCTGACACTCTCCGCTCGGTCAGGGACCACTTCCTCTCTCTTTGCCCTACCACCCTCACTGTCGACCTCCTCGAGGAGCGCCTCCTTGCAGCAGAGACTAGTATCACCGCTGTAGGCGCCTCTCGTGGTGACCCCCGTACCCCTTTCTTTGAGGGGTGCTCCCCCGTTCCTCTTTTGCCCTCTGTTGCCTCTGCTGCTGCTGTCGACCTTGTTGGCACCGAGTCGGTCAGCGCTGCGTCTGCTCCTAGTGAGAGGCGCCGCATCAGCAAGGGCAAGCGGGGCAAGGGAGCTGGAGGAGGTGGTGGGGGCGGCGGCAGTGGCGGTGGAGGCGGAGGAGGGGGTGGGGGTGGGGGTGGTGGTAGAGGTGGGGGCTTCGGTGGCGGCGGTGGAGGTGGAGGCGGCGGTGTCGGTGGCGGGAGGGGTGGAGGAGGCGGAGGCGGCGGCGGCGGAGGTGGAGCTGGCAGAGGCGGAGCTGTGCAGCGGGGACCCCAGCAGCAGCAGCGCTCTCGTGAGACCCCTTCGCCCCAGCAGCTTCGTGAGTGGTACGCGGGGCGCCAGGGGTCTGGGGGTGCTGGTCCCTGTACTTACGTCCTTCGCACCGGTGACCGCACTGGAGAGCAGTGTGGCGGCCTGCACGCCACCCAGCGCTGCTTCGGTCGCCTGACGGACGCCTGGCGTGCCCAGTTCCCAGGCTGTAGTGGGGTAGCCACTAAGGGGTACAGGTTTCATATTTGTATCTCACACTTTCCTAGTTCATTCATTCCTGTTTAATTCTTCACACTTTGAACACAGTTGCCCCCAAGTAACTCTCACGCAACTTCAATGCAGGTTTCGAGACCCCCCATTTTTGAGATGACAGTGTCGCGGGTACCGTTGGGAACGAGGATCTGGGATTTAGTTAGACAGAGGTGGACGGAGGGAGGTGGATTCTCGGCTCGACTTGCACTGCAGCCGAGAAGCCGAGTCGCGTCTGGGTTCCTGTTCAGACTGCATGACGACGAGGCATGGCATTGGACTGCGGTCCTACTGGTTATTTCGGTTGCCCTCTGCGACGCTACCCTCCACGACGCTACCCTCTACGACACTACCCTCTGCGATGCTACCCTTTGCGACGCTACCTTCTGCGACGCTTCCTTCTGCGACGATACCCCCCGCGACGCTACCCTTTGGGACGCTACCCTCTGCGACGGTAACATCTGCAACGGTAACCTCTGTGACGCTAACCTTTACGACGCTACCTTCTGCGACGCTACCCTCCGCGACGATAACTTATGCGACGCTATCCTCTGCAACGGTAACTTCTGCGACGCTACCTGCGATGCGGGCTTGGAACAGAGCGACGGAGTTGCGAACGGCGCTGACGGGGTCCACTGCGACTTGCATTAGAAGGAAAACTGTATGCATCTCAAATCTATTTCATCCCAAAAATTGGGTGTCTGCCCAACTCGCCTCCTGCGTAGCTTACCATCGATCCATCCAAAAAATGATGGGAAGCTATGCGGAGAATAGGCGATTATGGGAGAGCCTAGGCGCAGAGTTGCAAAGCGGATGGTTGTAAACCAAATACTGACTTGTGGAAACTGAATACTGATGCCAATCTTGGTATGCAGTAATCGAAGGAACGGAATTGATTAATTGATGAAATTGATAGATTACAACAGAAACAGCATGAACCTTATAGAAACATAGTGACGTGTGCAAGAACGTTCTATGAGAACGTTGTTCATGAAGAATGTTGTTCAAGGAGAACGTGCAAGCACCTACTCTAGAATGCGGTTCCAGGTTGGCACCACCAGGTGAAAATACCATCAGGTGAAAATACCATCATGTGTATTTCTACCTGCCCAGGAGTAGTTGCGCAGGTTCTTGCAACACTGACAGTTGCACATACGCGTTTGTGCAATGTCGTCACTTCCCTGGTCCAATGTCAAAATGTGCATACCGAAGCGCACTGATTGGAGAGTACTTGGCGAAGTCCGCAATACTGGTAAAACCGGTACAAGGATTTGTGTAGTACAGTGCGAGACTTCGCACGTAACAGTAAAGTACCGATAGGCTGACGTCAGCAAAGCGCTACGCGCCCTAGTATAACGTCAGCACGTAGCTATAGGCCTCGCGAAAAGTCACGTACCGTTTCAGAACAGGAATAGCACAGTACAATAGGCGAACAGGTACTTTACTCCAGCAAGGAAGGAATTCGCTTGAATCAATTTGAATATATTCAGTTACAAACAGAGAAGGAATATATAGTTCTAGCTAGCAAGGACCTTGGGAATCAACCTGGGAACAACCAGGGATGATCCCAAATAATTCCAAGCAACAGAACCAACCTGGCTGGACAAAACAGCAGGTGGTAGGTTGGTAAACAACCTCTGGTTCTGTTTTTCCAACCTGGGAAAACAACAACCAGGTTCAGGTCCTAAAAACAGAACCTGTTTTGTCTTTGCCCAACCAGCCAAATGCTGGTTCCGCTGGTTTCCCCTGGCCCTGTAGCATGCAGATACAGACAAACAACATCCAACCTTCACCTAAATTGTACCCCTATAGTGCCTGCCCTGCTACACTATAGTCAACCAAACAAAAGAGTTCAATTTCGAGTTGGATAGAACTGAATCTGCACAATCAATTCAACCGAACTGCAAAGCTTCCATCTTGGGTTCCTTTGCGAGCTCGGCCTTGGAGAGTAGTGATGCTGAGGAGTGGAAGAAGGCAATGGAGAGTAAGGTGAAGAGCATTGAGGA